AGAAAGAAAGAAAGAAAGAAAGAAAGAAAGAAAGACACGCTCTCAAAGCCGCTGATCAGAATTTTCACTATTGGTCAAAGATGGCAAAGAGAGATGGTGGAGGTGGGGGTGGGAGAGGAGAAAGACAGGCAGCCTCCGCACCTGTGTAAGATGTAGGGGCAAAAGCCGAGAAAGCCGAGGCATCTTGAGGCCAACAATCTCCTCTTTTATTACATGTCTATAGCGATTTTGATGCAACAAAACCACAGCCCATTGCGAGAGTGGTAATCATCTTTCTAAATAGTTGCAATGAGACCTCTCGCCTTTCCTTCCACTGAAATCAAGCTACTGTGCATGGCTCTTTTGTTCCCAAGCTTTATTCACACAACAGCCCTGCCAGGTGGGCCAGTGAGTAGGTTTTCATTGACTGAGCGGGGCATGAGGCGAGCTCTCCTAAGTGGTAGCCCAACTCTCTAACCACTCTTACACTATTGCCTCTGCAGCCATGATGGCATTCAACATGGGGTAGGAAGGAGATGACAGGAGGAGGATTTACCAGCAGTCTCCCAAACTACAAATGTCTAGCTTGTTCGATGGGTGCAAATGTTTCCATATTTTACATTTCTGTCTGTTCAGTTTCCTTAAATCTGGTGCCTTTTGAGGCCCAGATTGCAAACACTGGGGTGGGGGGGTGGAGATTACAAACAAGAAGCAGAACCATCTGTCAACCCTCAGAGTTGGGTAATGATTCAAAATATAAAAGCAGAGGCTTATTTGAGTCCTGGAAGACTTGAAGTCTTCTTTTATTTTGATGTTTTACTGGCCCCATAAAAGCGTTATTTCAGCCCTGATTCAGATCCTAAAGAAGGCTGTGATATCCACAGGTGTTCTGTGGAAGAGGGGGAAGCCTTCTCCTCTAACCACACCTGAAAGAGAGGAAAGGTTGCAGTGAAATTGGTATGTTTCTGATGATTCTTCTCAGCCTCGGTGCCAGTCCTTTCCCAGGGAGAGCAATGATACCAAGATGGTGTGTGTGTCTGTGTGTGTGTGTGTTTTGGAGGTGCTGGAACTGGACACATCTGTAGGCCAGCTTTTCCTCTGTTCAATTAAGTGCTCTCATTTCCTTTGTGTTTTTTTAACCCTTCTCCCCTATTCCCTGGTGACCTGTGTGTGTGTATGTGTGTTTTCTACCTGGCCAATCCCCGAATCTCTCCACCCGTCTGACAAACAGAGGAAGCTTCGCTGGGATATGTGAGGATCAACCTGCATTATTATTATTATTAATTTTGCGATATGATACCTTGGCTACGTGGCATATACTTGTCACATCCCCATGCCAGCATCCCTGAAAGTTTTGCCACCTGAAAATTCAGAATATACTGTACACCTCGTCCCGTCTGCTAAAGCCCCTTGGGAGCTGGCAGATAAATCTGCGGTGCTACCTCCGAAGAGCTTGCAAAAGGGTATTTACCGAGCTATTAAAATATTTATGCGCTGCCCTGTATCACAAGATTTCAGGGCTTAAGGCATCAACAAGAAGTGAGAAAAACTGTTGAAAGCATGTAGAAACGATTCAGACTATATACAAAACAATTGGAAAATCATGTCCACAGATCACTCTAAGCTGCTCAAAGCCGGGATCCTGGAGCCCCAAACGGCTTTATTGAAGAGTCACAATTTATGGTGGCCTCAAAATTGAATCACCTGTGGGTGCCCATTGGGCCTCCGGGCAGAGATTCTAGGAACCGTGGTGCTATGTGGAAAGAACACTATGCGCCTAAAACATGTTCTGGGAACTGTAGTCCAAAAACAACAACAACAACAACCCCCAAACGTTTTCAATCTCTGCTCCTCTTTTGGTGTGTGTTTCTAGTAGTTTTTCTCTGCCTCTTGGTGGGAGAAAATTCTTAGCCAGCTGTCGGAGCTCACAAGCAACGGGACTGCTTTTCTCCGGGCCAGGTGTAACATGTAGCTCAGCTGTGCTTGCTCTCTTCAAGCTGAAGCATGAAAACCAATGGCAATCCAATGCTCTGGTGAGACTCTTTCCATGCCCTCCTTGTAGGACGTTGCACTGTAGTGGAAATTTGGGTGTGGGAGTTAACCTGCTTTAGTCCTCATGACATACCCAAGTCAGTGTCATCTGTTACTCAGGGAGAGAGTATTACCATATTTTCCGTGTATAAGACTATACTTTTTTCTAAAACCTTTATACTAAAAATTGAGGGTCGTCTTAAACACGGAAGGAAGCTGAGGAGAGAACAAAAACAAGTGGAGGGGAAAGCAGGGATCAAATTAATCTTGCAGTGTTTTGATCCCTTTCCCCCTACACTTGCTAAGCCCCACTTAGGTTTCTTAATTTTGGGTTAGAAAAGTGGGGGGCATCTTATACATGGGGGCATTTTATACACAGAAAAATATGGGATTTCAGGGAGGTAACTTCCTTTTAATTCTCCTTTCTGCGTGGTGGAACTCCATGTGGCTGAGAACAACAGACTTCCATGGGTTGGCTTCCCAAACTGCCCCACCTTTGCACCCCATCCTACAAGAGGGAGCACTGGAACGGTTAAGCAAACACCCCATTATCATCCAACCCATATGGGGATGGATAGTGTTGTTAACCTTTAGAAACAGGGTGAGGGAGAAGAGGGGGTGTCAACCAGAGCGTGGCCTGCAAGGCGTAGTCTCACTCAGCCAGCATGATCATGCTATCTGGAGAGTACTGGGAGTTGTAGTCTGAAATCTGTAACTTTTCCAAGCTCTGGTGTAGAGATGGGAGGGGAAAAAATCCCACTTCCCAAAATCCAGCTTTCCCTGCCTTTTGCTAAGCATGGGATCTACTCTGCACTTCTGTGCCGCCTTTTTTTGACTCACCGTTCTTGATTTTGACTGCCTCGCAGGATGATACGCATGCTTGCATGGGGTGTGTTGTTTTCCGGCTGGACTCTCAAAATGCACCTCCTCTTTGCTGGCTTTTGCTTTATGGTTTCAACGCTTCTCTTTGGCTTCTCCTGAATGCTGTGGCCCCGAGCCAACAGAAACGGTGATGCTCACGTCTTCTCGGTCTGAATCAACCACCCAGCAACCTGGCGCGCGACTGCCACGGTGCCCCAGTTTCGAACAGAGCATCTCAAGGGCCCCTCTGCCATCCTTGGCCAGTCTGCTGGCTGAGCTGAAAGAAGCCCCCCCCCCAAAAAAAATGGTCCATTTGCCTTAAAATGATTTATCCCAAAATCTATGCAGGCAGGCTTCACCTTGCCCAGAGTGGCAGTCTCCCCTCATCCTACCCCAACTTTGAAAAAATGAAATTAGAGACCAGCGGATGTTCTCTTCTGTACCTGCTTTCTAACACTGAGCACTGAAAAGATCCGTAATCCCCAGCCAGCAACAGAGGAAAAAAAAAAACCTTCCTTCAAATGCTGAGTTCACAAAAAAGGCAGGAGGAAGAGGAGGAGGGAAAGAAAGAGCAAAGGTTGCAGGCTATATACCACCCTGTAGTGCTTAAAGCACGGTCTGGGGGGGTATATAATTTAATTGTGCAGGCTACACATTGCCCCCACCCCACAGCAAGCTGAGCACTCGATTTACTGACCTCAGAAGGATGGACGGCTGAGTGAACCTTGAGCCGGCTACCTGGCATTGAACCTCAATCGTGTGAAGAGCGTTTTAGCTGCAGGACTGCACTTGAGCCGGCTACCTGGCATTGAACCTCAGTCGTGTGAGGAGCATTTTAGCTGCAGGCTGCAGTTTAATCATTGCACCATGAGGCTCAGTGTTTAAAACCTTTACAAGGATGGGCAAAGCACCCCCCACCCCATGTTCCTAAGAGCCCCCGTTTTAAAAAAAGGGGGAAAAATCTCCTCAAGGACTTCCTGGTTCTGGACAGAGGTGGTTTTTACGATGTGGGCTGGGAGGTCCCCAAAACCTTAAAACCAAGCCAAATCACAAGTGCTGCTCTTGGGACTTAATTTTTTCCCACTTTTTTAAAAAAACAGTCAAAGGCAGCCATTTTCAGGAGTCATTTTCAGGCCCTGCGGCGCCTGCAAGCCGAATTTAAGCCCCCCGATTTGCCGACCTGACATGGGAATCATCCCGTCCGTTAGCGATGGTCCAGTGGCTCACGATAAAGAAATGTAATGGATGAATGAAGCCTCAAGAGAACCCAAAGGACACGGATCCTGTGATAGATAGGGCCTGTAGCTCTGCAAAGGTATTTAGGTCCCCTGCATCAGCTTACTCCAGTGGTATAGATGAGATATAAGAGCAGCATGTTCCTCAATTTTAATTCAGGAAAAAGACAGCAGAGTCCTGGGCAACAGGGGGTACCAGCCATACTAGCGAGGGGTTTCTGGGAGGTCGTCTTTTTCCCCCCAAAGGAACTTTTCCATGCCTTGGATGAGAGCCAAGGTTCTTCCTGTTGGGTGTCGCACAAGACGAGTCAAAAGCTGAAGCCTTCAGGAAAACTCTTGTCTTCCAGCCTGGGTGGAAAATGTCTTTCCAACCCTCTTGACTGCAGAAATTCCAGATGGATGAAAGGATCTGCCCCGTGCCCTTTTCAAGAACCCTTGAAACCTCCCCTGGAGGGGCAGAAGGGGGAAAAAAAAGAAGGAAAGCAGGGGCCAGATCTGGCGATTTGAGTTGGAGAAATAGGGGGGGTCTGTCCCACCCATCCGCTTAGGTTTTCCCATGCCAGATTTGAACATCATGCCGCGGTGGCTCCCAGGATGGACGTGGAAGGGTTAAGCCCCCACGCGTGCCTCTGAAGCTCCTTGGGATTAGAAAGAGCCCTCAATGGATCCTTTTAAGGAGAAAAAGGGAGTCAAACTATTTTAAAATCAAATGTGTTTTTGAAGCAAGAACATGGCTGGCGGGGAGAGGGTTCAGCCCCATCGTGTATCCTCTCCAGATGTTTTCTGTGCCCAAAATCTCCATGGACGTGGAAGGGTTAAGCCCCCACGCGTGCCTCTGAAGGTCCTTGGGATTAGAAAGAGCCCTCGATGGATCCTTTTAAGGAGAAAAAGGGGGTCAAACTATTTTAAAATAAATTTTGTTTTTGAAGCAAGAACATGGCTGGCGGGGAGAGGGTTCAGCCCCATCGTGTATCCTCTCCAGATGTTTTCTGTGCCCAAAATCTCCTACCCTGGCTCCTTTTCTTCACAAAAAAGAAGAGGTAGAATTGGTGAGGATTTTTTTTTTAAAAAAGTCTTTTCTGGAATTATAGCTCTGCCTCTCCCCCAACCCTTAATCCAGACTACCCTGGCTCCTTTTCTTCACAAAAAAGCAGCTTTCAGAGGTAGAATTGGTGAGGATTTTTTAAAAAAAAGTCTTTTCTGGAATTATAGCTTTGCCTCTCCCCCAACCCTTAATCCAGTGATGCAACAGCCATCAACGATGGATGAGGTTAGCCTTCGTAGCTGGGAAGTGTGTGCGAGATGTCTCCCCGACTGGATCTTTCCAGGGGTTGCCTTCTCCATGCCCGAAGGTCGGTGTGGTTTGTTCAGATGAGAAGCACGATGGGATCTTAAGGGTGCTTTCTTGGCTTTGCTGGAGGGAGAGCAGGCGGCGCTTAAATGAGAAGCGGCTCAATATGGCTTTAATCCCCTCCCGCTTTCTTTCTTAGGGCAGCTCTGGCTTCGGCCCACCAGTGCCACCCCCTCCCCAAGACCCTCAGTGTGTTGAAGAACACCCCGCAGGTCAGAGGCATGCACACCATCATCCGGTGAGTTCCCGGGCGCAAACATTCCTCCAAGATTTCCTCCTTCTCTTTTCTTCCCTTCCCCTCTTGAGACGTCGATGGAGATTTTAAAAAGAGAGTTTAGGCATTCATTTAGAAAGCTAGTACTGTATATCAACAGGAGGACAGGACAATAAATCAGGGAGAATATGTATTTCCTCTGATATAATATCTTGTTAACGGCTGGGGTTTTATTCTATTTTTAACGTGAGGGAGCAATGAAAACAGCGATTTCAAATTTCATCTGAAATTTGGAACAAGACCATTTCAGGACTGTGTGTTCTGAGCCATCAAGTGGATTCCCCCTTACGGTAAGTGGGAATCAAGTGGATTCCACCCCCACCCTCGGTAGGGGTCTTTTTGTACCCAGTGTGATGTAGTGGATAGACCCATGGTTCCAAATCTTGGGTCCCCTGATGTTCTTGGACTAAAATTCCCAGAATCCTTCACCACTACCTGTGCGGGCCAGGATTTCTGGGAGTTGTAGTCCAAACCATCAGGGGGAGTCAAGGTTGTGAACCACTGGGGCCAAGTGTTGGAATAGGGCATAGGAGACCCGGGTTTGAATCCTGATGGGAACCCACTGCAGAATGGTCGTGGTGAAACCACTCCTTAGATATCTTTAAGGACTTTCCAGGGTCATTCTAAGTCAATTCTGGTTACGCACAATAGAGTTTCCAAGGTTAATAGTGATATTTAAGGAGTGGTTTTTACCACCTCCCATGAATCTTTGTCCATCACTCCATCCACTATGCCACACTGGGTCTCAGGGTGGACCGTCCTACGAAAGTACATTGATGCTCGACTTGTAGTTCTGATATCAGGAAGACTTAGCCAAGTGTTAAAACGATTCCATGTTCAGCCTGTCAGAAAGGGATTGTAGGTTAGAAAAATTCACACCCGGAAGGTTGTGGGTTCAATTCCTGCCATCTCCGATGGAGAGGATCTACAGACAGGTGAAGGGAAAAACCATAACATTTCGCCACCAGTCCAGAGCCTGGAAATTTCTTTTTTGTGGGTTTATAGGTCCTAGAATCCTCAGCCATAGATTCTGGGAGATGTAATCCGAAGATATCTTTGGACTACATCTCCCAGAATCTATGGCTGGGGATTCTGGGAGCTCTAACCCCCAAAAAAGAAATTTCCAGTATTGGAAGCAACGCAGTCATCGGTCATGGTGGCCCACGAGGTGAAGAACGGGTCAGAAGCCGATCACTTCCCAGAGAAATTCAGATGATCTCTGGCTTGCCTTATGCTTAGATTGATAGTTTGAGTTAAAAATACAAGGCTTGGTAGATTTCATGGCCATGGGGATCATAACAGCCTTCAGAGGTGGAGATGTGTAAAGATGGTGGCACCCAGCGTATGTCATTTCAAGATGCTCTAAGAAATGGGTTGCACCAATTTGGAAAAATCAAAACATTGACTCTTCACACCTTCCGGTTTATGCAAAACTTTGGGGGTCAAGTTCCCTTGGCCCATTGGAGGGATTGCCTTTCTCAAGGATTCTAGTAAGTTTGTTCTTTCCACCCCACCCCCCACCCCCACGTCTCTTCTCTTTTAGAGACAAGGAGACAAGCCGGGATGAGTTTATTTTCTACTCCAAGCGGCTGATGCGGCTACTGATCGAGCATGCGTTGTCTTTTCTGCCTTTCCAGGTGGGCGATTCGAAGCGAAGACATCCCGCTTTCCTCCCTGTTCATGTTCCAGATCACCTCTCAGGTTGATTTGGCAAGGATAATTAGCGGAGAGCTAGATAAGAGTCCAAATCGGGGATCTCAGGGCCATTCATGTGACCGGTAGAATAATCATTGCCTTCTCTCTGAACAAGCTTTGTTTGCCCTTAGTAATAACGTTGGCAAACTCCACTTGTAATCAGATTACATTCCATAATTCCATGCCATTCTGGCTGTAATTACCACCTAGTATGTAATCTGTGACTGATTCAATAATTAGAGGGCAATGCAGATAATCTCTAGGGTTAGAATACTTTGATGATCATACTGACATGGCAGTCTTATTTTACGAGAAGGCGTCACTCTAACAGAGACGTTGTCTTGGGTTCCCCCTTCTTTACACTGATTTGCACCTGCTTCCTTTCCATACTAATTCATGTTTTTTTTATTTTCTCATGATGTCTCTCTCCAGAGCTGCACGGTTCAGACTCCCCAAGGGCAGGACTATGAAGGTCGAACCTATCGTGGGAAACGAGTAAGTGGCCACCAAGAGAGGAACTCCGAAGCAAAAATCAGCAGGAAACTAGGAATATGTGAAATCGGCCCCTGTTTTATTTTCGATCATTCTTCCAGGTCCTCCACATGGGTCCTTTTGCATTCAGGGCAAATTAATTTTTGCAAAAGCAGAAGCAACATCCTGATGGCACAGTTTATTTAGACTTATGCCCTACCCCAAGTAGACTTTGTCTAGAGGGGCGGGGTATAAGTCTAAATAAAGTAAAGTAAAGTTATAAGTGTATGAAATCGCATATTTTGTCAACCACTTAAAAGTACAGAGAGCAATGACCAAAAAAAATGAATGCAAGTCTGCAATTAATGCATCTGCATGAATTAAAAAATCAGTGCTGCTGTAAATCACCAGTGCATCTGTCTTTACTGAGCAATGGCTTGCACAGTGAAGTTCTGCTTTTCTTTTTTAAGAAGGGGGATCCCCAGTTTGAGGTGCACTAAAGACATTTTGTTGGTTTTAGCAGAGAGACAACAGAACGACTCGCCAGCTTCCTTTCTGGAAGAGCTTATGTGCCTAGCTAAGCCACTTTTCTCCCTTCAGAACACACTGGCTGTTAGATCCGGGACAGGGATGGGCAAGAACCAGTTTGTCTGAGTTCATCCTAGTTTGGAAAGCCTCCTCAATCAGCCCTTCACAAAGCTGAGCGTGCCAGCTTCCTGCAACTCCTCGATTGATCTTCCAGCTTCTCTGGCCCCGCCCTCTCGGCTGATCTCCCAATCAGGCAAAAGGGCGGGGCAGAGAAGCCTGTGCTCTTGCCCCCGACTGGGAGATTAACTGAGGAGGTGGGGGAAAAAACAAGCAAGCTGGGCTTGGCGAGGGGCTGATGGCCTGAGGAGGCAGGAGGAGGGAGCAGCAGCACTTATACTACTGCCTTTACAAACTGGGGTGAACCAGGACAAACTGGTTCGTGCCCATCTCAAACATAGGTTTCTACTGAGGCCCACAAATGGTCCCTTTAGCCAGAAGTGAGCAGTGGCTCCCCTCCACCTGTTTCTGGACTGCCCCCTCTCCAATTCCTCACTACTGGCTCTGCTCTGTCGGTTGTGATGTCTACAAGGATTTCCTGGGGCAATTTACTTCCATTTACCGAGAGACCAAAAAGACATTTTCCGGTCAATTGTAAGGTCTTTCCGCAAGAACCTTGGCTAGTAAAAATCCCCATCCTGGAGGTATCCTAGCAAGGGAAGGGGGAGAGCTAAGTAATGCGGGTGTCAAGTTCTAAATTTGGAGAGACCTCCTCCCAATGTCCAAAGCAGTGAAGCTTTTCCAACTTCGTCGGTTGTGATTTTGTGCCCATGGAAAGCAGATATTCCGACGTCAACCTGTATGGCTTTGATTCGTAATTTTTGATCCCTCGGTGCCTAATAACAACAAAATGAACAGCCTGTGCCATCGTGTCTGAAAGCTCTCTTCCTGCCCGCCTGGAGACAGTTTTTGACTCAGCATAGATAAGGGGAAAGGCGACTTGCCAGCTGTAGGTTAAATGCGAAGAATGACGGAATGGCTGTAGAGAAAGCTTTGTTACGAGGCGGACGGTAGAGGAATGCCGGCTTGTGCTCTGTTTTCCAGATTACGGGCGTGTCCATTTTGAGGGCTGGGGAGACCATGGAACCGGCACTGCGGGCCGTTTGCAAAGACGTCCGAATCGGCACCATCCTGATTCAGACGAACCGCCACACAGGTGAACCAGAGGTAAATGTGCCCAGATTTGGGGAAAGAAAGCAGAATCCTCACTGCTCACTGGAGCTGGGATTTATTTTTTATTTTATTTCTTGGATTACGTTTCCCACGAGCCTCTATTCTGGGAGTTCCACCTGACAGACAGACACCTTAAAGGTAAAGTAAAGGTAAAGGTTCCCCTTGACAATTTTTTTGTCCAGTCGTGCTCGACTCTAGGGGGCGGTGCTCATCCCTGTTTCCAAGCCATAGAGCCAGCGTTTGTCCGAAGACAATCTTCCGTGGTCACTTGGCCAGTGCGACTTAGACACGGAATGCTGTTACCTTCCCACTGAAGTGGTCCCTATTTATCTACTTGCATTTGCATGCTTTCGAACGGCTAGCTTGGCAGGAGCTGGGATAAGTGACGGGAGCTCACTCCGTCGCGTGGATTCGATCTTATGACTACTTGGTCTTCTGACCCTGCAGCACAGGCTTCTGCGGTTTAGCCCGCAGCGCCACCATGTCCCTGACAGACACCTTACAGATCGCTAAATGGCGCTCACCGGGGAGAACGGCCTGAATGGGCCAGGTTTGAAGCGGAGCTGGGCATAACTCCACTTAACCTCCTGTTCAGAAAGGAAACTCCGAGGTCAAAATCAGAGCAGGAACAGAGAGCCTCATCAGAGCTAGGCCTAGCTAAGCTTTTTCAGTTGAGCTGTTTCTTCCAAGTGAGCTTCTTTTAGGGTGAAAGCGGGTTGGAACTCCCGGAATTGACGGGTGCAAGAAATCCTAAAGTCCCATCCCTATTTGTCACCCTGTCTCTTGACCTCTCTCAAAGGGTGCAAGGATCTTTACTCTAACTCCTGTATTTGTCCTTTTATCATGGATATCGTTCCTCTTGTCCTGAGAGGATTGAAAGGGTGGCGGAATAGAAGATGAAAGTGTTAACAAACATGTTTAGGAGAGTCTGGTGAGTGGAGGGCACACCCTACTACAGTACCTAACCTACCAGACTGGTCTGATACCAATGCTAGTGGGGAAATGTATTGCAACCAGCAGAATGACCTAGGCATTATGGCTACTGCCTGGGGAAGTCTATCAGTTGAAGAAAAGTAACTTTTCCAAGCCCTGTGCATGTCAAATAAATTGCACAGGCCAAAATCCTGTGGCTGGTGTATCATCAAGGGTGCAACTTTTGCTGGTGCAGAGTTGTGAAGCCGATATAGAGGTTGTCTGTTGTGTGCTGGGTTGTGCAGCTTGATACACAAGAGAGAATGTCCAACTGATTTTGTGATATATAGCAAATGTTGTATCAGAAGGTGCACCGTTTACTCTGTGCCTGGTGTTAAGACTTTTGCATTTGTCCTGTGTGACCATTTATCGGCAGTTTTATTATTTTCCTCTGTGTGTTATAAACGGTGCGCTCGTTATGCGAGGCACCACTGTATATAGCAAATGTTGTATCAGAAGATGCACCATTTACTCTGTGCCTGGTGTTAAGACTTTTGCATTTGTCCTGTGTGACCATTTATCGGCAGTTTTATTATTTTCCTCTGTGTGTTATATTAGCGTCATTTGGAGTAAAATGTGTGTTGCTGTGGCTGTGTTCTTTGTCTTGACGTTGCTGGAATTACTTTTGACTGAAATCACACTGTCTGGATAGTGGTTTTAGTCGCTGGCTGCAGAACCAAAGGTTGGGAGTTCGATTCCCTAGTGGGCCTTCTTGACAGGGGGTGGACTGGATGATCCATAGGGTCCCTTCCAGCTCCGCAGTTCTAAGAGGATGATGATCTTCCAAATGGAGGAGGATGCATGGGGAAACATCTTTAGAGAGTTGTGAATGAAAAATCCAGCGTTCTCGAGCCCTGTGATGAAGATTGAAAACAGCTCCATGAACTCTGGATCTGCTTCTTACGCTTGGGATGGGTTCGTCTTCTGTTTCTCTGGTGGATAGGAGTTCCACAGGGTAACTCACTGTGCAGGGAATGGGCGTCTTTTCCACAGCCCACCAGATGTCCTGAACTCTCTCTCCCTTCCTCAGTTACACTACCTGAGGCTTCCGAAAGACATCAGTGAAGATCATGTGATTCTAATGGACTGCACGGTCTCGACAGGAGCGGCCGCCATGATGGCTGTGCGGGTGCTGCTGGTAAGCGAGAAAGGAAAAAGAAGAAGAAGCAGCTCAGCTTAAGAGTGGAAGCAGGACCCCAGATTTCCCCCTTCGTCCCAACAACCCTAGGAATTTTGACAGAACACGCTCTCGCCTAAATTAACATTAATTATCATTTGGGCATCTGCAAGATGTCATAAAGTTACTTTTTCGGGCCAGAGATCCCCTAAACAACAGGGTAGGTGGCTTGGTTGGTTGGAGGAATGTTGGAGTTCACCGTCCAAAAAAAGTAAAATTTTTGCGGCGCTGGCACATTTCCTTATTATCTCCTTTGAATGTGAGGAACAGGTGGTCCTCTGGATGTTCTGGATGATCCTCCGATATCCCTGACCCATAGGCTACGTTGCCCTTCTCATTGGCCAACATCTCCCATGGGTCCCTGCAGCATAGCCCCGGTTCCTTTGCGTCCAGGTCTTCTCCATACATCAGGTGCGGGGAGTGGTTGACCATTCAGAGGTTTAAAGGTTTCAGTGTCCAGAAACTCCAGCTACCATGGCCTTCGGCAATGGATTATGGGAGTTGTAGTTGAAAGGATGTGGAGGGCCAACAGCCTCCTCCCAATACAAGTCTTATTATGAAGTAAAACATTGGCTTGTCTAGGACTGTTCTAGCTCAATAGAGTCTATTCCAGTGAGCTCTGGGGCCCCAAAATCTTGTTCAGGCCTTTTTCTCTGTCATCCTTGCTGGACGACTTCTTTCTGGAGGAGACCTGAATAGAAACAGGATCCTTTGAGCAGCAACACTTTTGGTTGACCCTAGAGTGATGATGCCTCCCTTTCTGGCCTTCAAGCATTCCCTCCCCTCCCAGGCTTGAAAGAATATTTACATTTAGCGAGTTTGATCTTTTCAGTGTACTGTATTTAAACAGCTTTAAATCTGGAAAAATGTAAGATTGCTGGTGTCTACACAGGGGTGTGTGTCCTGTTACTTTTAAAAAAATCATAACTTGAAAATTGTTTTCCCGAACGCCCCCAAATTTGGCACAGAGCCAGAGGATATGGTCTGCTACCTCTGTGCGCAATTTGCCCCTGGTCCCAAGTCCAATGTCAAAGTTATCATTTTTTTTGTTTGGGGCACCTTTTTGAGTTGACTTATGGAATGCTGAACTGAGCTGCCGCACAATATCTATTGGTGCACTCCCGTGCACCAGTAATGATGCAGAGTACAATTACCAGTTGTCTTCCAGAACGGTCGGCATGTTCGTAACCCACAGAGGTGCTGACATCATTGTTTCCTGTAGGATCATGATGTACCTGAGGATAAAATCTTCCTGTTGTCCCTTCTGATGGCTGAGATGGGGGTCCACTCGGTGGCCTACGCCTTCCCTCAGGTGAAGATCATCACAACAGCGGTGGACAAGAAAGTGAATGACGTCTTCCGCATCATTCCAGGCATCGGTGAGTGGTCGGATGCAGTGGAACCAGCCTCACCCTCTTTGGTGCCTAGTCCGAAGCTTGGAAATGTTCCTTTTGTGTGTGTGCCAGCCTGGGGGGGGGGAATTCTGGGAATTGGAGCCTGAAAAATGAACTTTCCAGAGCTCATTATGGGGAAAGCTTCAGTGCATTAACTGGCAGCACTCTTGTTGCCTCCAAGCTGCTTGTCTTTTTCAGTGGCTCAAATAATTCAATTCTTGGAGAAGTTTCTTTCTTTCTTCCCTTCTTCCTTCCTTCCTTTTTTTCTGTTTGTCTCTGTCTGTCTGTCTTTCTTCCCTCCTTCCCATCTTTCTTTCTTTCTTTCTTCCTTCCTTCCTTCCTTCCTTCCTTCCTTCCTTTTTGACTGCAATTTCTAGAAATCCTGGTCTGCATTGAGGAATTCTGGGAATTATAACCCAAAAATGAAGATTCCCAGCTTTCCTTCTTAGCATTTATTTTGTGCCTGCATCCTCTGGTTCTTCCCTGATGTGATAATATTTTTTTCTTCTGATGCTAGCACTTTTTTAAAATGGGAAGCACTGAAACACATCATCACAGCTCCTGACACTTTTTGTATTCTGAAAGTGGTTTGATCGGTTTTTGTTTGTTTGTTTTTTCAATCAGTTTGCTGTCACTGAGTGTCTAAACCAGCAAGGAAACAAATCTTTTTCCTGGATGGGTGCACAGAGGTGCATGCACCTCCATCATCAGAGCTTCGGAAAGTTAATTTTGGACTACAGCTCCCAGAATTATGGGAACTGTAGTCCAGAAATAGCATTTCCATACTCTTTCCAGTGTACTTTATATACAGAAGGACCCTTATATCTGCAGGAGATTGGTTCCAAGCCTCCCTGCAGATGCTGAAAAACGCAGATTATAGCAAACACTATAATGAATGCTATACGTAGCATGGTCTTTAGTGCCTTCTAGTGGCAAGTTCTGGTAATGACATCATGGAAATATATTTCTCCAGTGAACACTATACTGTACATCGGGGTCCCCAACCCTTTTCACCCTGTGGACTGCCTGGGGAAGGCGGGGCGCTCGCCTGTGCTTGTGCACGTGCATGCACAAACAGTGGTGCGGCACTTGTGTGGGCAGGTGCATGCACATGCGCGAACGGCATCATTGCGCTCACACAAGCATGCTGGAGCACATGTGCATGCGCAGATCAGCTGTGTGCGGGGGTGATTGCATGCAGGGGGGGCAGGAGGTCTGTCTCCGCAGCCCAGTCCAGCTCAGGCCACAGATGGGCAATGGGCCGTGGACTGAGGGTCGGGGACCTTTGCTATACATAACATGGTATCTGCTCCCTCCAGTGGCCAATTCTGGTAATGCTGGAAATATATATTTATGGGCTTTTTCTTTTAATTTTAAAAATATTTTCAGATTGTGGATAAGTGAATCAGTGGATCCTGATTTCTCAGATGAGGGGGTCCTGCTGTGCTTCCCCTAGATCTCACATTGACTTTCTTATCTCCTCCTCCTAGGAAATTTTGGAGACCGTTACTTTGGCACCGACGCTCCTCCCGACTGGAGTGATGATGAAGACCTTTTGGATTCGTAGCTGGGCATCTATTTGAGCCTCTCGGTCTTCAGAGAAGACTAGAAGGAGGATCGGTGAGCAGCTAGTAATTAAGCAATTGCATCAAATCTTCCCGACACAGGTTTGGAGCATGGCTCTAATCTGATTTGTGTGAGAAGAACTGCAGGGTGTTTCCTCTCCTCTCTTTCTCTCTCTCTCTCTTAGGGAGGGAGCGAACATCCATCCTCACCATCTTTGTATGTGCTCACGAGTGTTTCTGTGTCTAGAGGCAGATTATTTTAATTTTAAAAATTTAATATAACTTATTTTATTTAAAAAACAAACAAAACAGTTTGGTGTCAACCTCCTTCTGTCTCCACCGATCACATCTGTCCTCTTGGTTTCCCATGCTTTACGTTATAGGATCGTGCCCTTTGGTACACTTCAGGAGCGCAAAACATGGACATGGGCCTTGATGACTACTGCGGGGAGAAATCTAGCTCTGATATTTTTTATTTTAGGGAAAAACTAACCTTCTGAATATCATTCAGGGAGGTTTGAAAATGCATGCAGCTTTGTCAGCTTTTGGAAACCCACATATACTGGGGGCGGGGTGGGGGAGGAGAAGGACACCCTTTACCAAGGGGTAAAGGACAGAGATTTTTTTTTTAATTGGTGGGTATAATCAAGATTCAGAGATTTTGATCTGCTTCTGAAGATGGTTATCCTGGCAGTTGTTTTTCTAGCCAGGTTTCTGAGATAACAACCCCACCCTTACCACCCACACAACGAAGAAGCTGTTTTGTTTTGTTTTGAAACATCTTTGCTTCTTCACGATATGCAAATGACGCTCTAGGAATGGAACATGGCTTGACTCTCCTGTAGACACCTTTTCTTGGATTGGAGAGGATTCGGAGTCACGTCCTACAAACTTCGTTTGTTTATTACTTTTTATATCGCATATATTAATAGCAAACACTACTCTGTGTGGATTACATCCAATAGAAGCAAAATAACATAAAATGAAATAAATCTTAAATAAAGCATTAAATACTGACAAACACACACACTCCATACAGCAACAAATAACGCAATCCCATGGCTAATAAATAAAACACACTCCATACAGCAACAAATAACGCAATCCCACGGCTAATAAATAAAACAAATAGAAGATAAATATAAGCCATGAAGGAAGTCCCAGTAAAGTCTCAGTACATTATTGACTTCCCAATTATTATGTATAAATGTGAAAGCTGGACAGTGAGGAAGGCTGTATGGGGAAAAATTGATTCATTTGAAAGGTGATGTTGGAGGAAAAGGTTTGTAGATATTCTAGACTGCCAGAAAGATGAACAAGTGGGTCCTGGAGCAAATCAAGCTTGAACAATATCTAGAGGCAAAAAATAAAATAAATAAATGATGGAACAGAGGCTGTCCTGCTTTGGGCACATCACACGATGGGAGGACTCTGTGGAGAAGACCATAATGCAGGGAAAAGTTGAAGGCAGCAGGAAAAGAGGAGGACCCAATATGA